AATCAGTTGATGAGGCCATAAAGCACCAACTCGACATTGTTGGACTTTCGTCAATGAAATGCCAAAGCTCTGAAATCCTGAACCTCTACGGGTGGAAACAATTCCATTCAGGTCTCGACACTCCGACGCGCACTCAGGTAAGTGTTAGTGTTCTGGTAGAATCCAACCTGGCTGATAGAACCATTGAATGGAAGCATATTAGCGGAAAGAAGGCAATCCTCCGACTGAAGCTACAGTAGGCTAAAGCGTTGACCTTGAAGTTACAGGTCTATGGGCCCAATTTCGAGATAGAATATGAGTCCTTGCTTGAGGAAGTAGAGTGTACTTTGTACTAAGTGCTGAATACGTCGTTCTTCATATTAAAATGGACGATTTTAATGCGCATGTAGGAGCAGACGGTGAAAAGTAGAGAGACGTGATTGCAAACCTGAACTGCGATGGAATGAAGCTATTGCAGTTTTGTGCAAACAGTCGAACGTATATTATGAACACCTTATTCAGGCATCGAAACGGGCATTTGTACACATGTTATAGAGAAGTATGCGCACAGAAATAGGTGATCGATTTGATAATCGCATCGTCTGACTTAGACGCTCAGTAACGGATGTTCGCGTTAAGAAAGGCACAGAGCTATCAATCGACCACTACCTAAGTTTTTGCACGCTACGCTGCGAGAAATGGAGTACTATATGAAAATCTGGTGGCAAAAGCAATCAGAAAATCAAATAGGAAACATTATTTTCGAAGACACGAGAGCGAAATTTGTAAATAACATTGCATGACGGTTTGAACAGATCCCGATGATGACGCCTGACATGGAAACCGAGTGGGAGCTCTTCAAGGGTGGCGTACTCGGAACTGCCGCTGAATGCTGCGGGTTGGCCTTCCGCCTGGAGGTCAAAAAAAGAACTTCCGGGTGGACAACTGGCAGCCAATGAGAAGAAGGTTGCGTTCAAGAAATAGCTGAGAATCAGAGAGCATTCAGCTTGCATGTGGTTTGTAGAAGTGCGGAAAACGGCGGCGAAAGCACTGGCGAAAGTCAAATCTGATTCCTGGGAGAAGTTCGGTGAGCTGTTGGAGTCGAATTTCCAGACGACAAACAAAGTATTCTGGCAGACCATCCGCCGGCTCCA